TTAGGTCGGTGGTTCAAGCTAAACAGCCACTCCTTGGAAACCCTATACAGGGTCACTGTGGGTCGGAACTGATTCGATAGCACTTAACAACAACAACTCTATCTATCTATCTATCTATCTATCTATCTATCTATCTATCTATCTCTATATATCACGAGTTCCTACTGGTGGCACAATAGTTAAAGCACTTGACTGCTAACCGAAAGTTCAGAGATTCAAGCCCACCAGTCTCTCCAAGAAAGAAACGACATGGCAGTCTGCTCCCGTACGGATTATACAGAGAGAGTCACTGTAAACCCTACAGGGCACTTGCACCTTGTCCTATAAGGTTGCTCTGAGTTAGAATTGACTCAACAGCACACAACACAGTCCTTTTCTTTGGATAAATCACCAAAGGGCATAAAACATTGTAAGACTCTCTGTTACACATTGCCACATTGCCTCCAGTAAAGTTGAACCAGTTAAAACTTGGTTTGAGAATGCTCATTTTGCTGCAAATCTAACAATATCAGGGTATTTGTAAGTTTAAAACCGTTGTGATTTTATTAAGCAAAAATCCATATTTTGTTTCATTTTAATCTCCATTCCTTTGTGAAAATGAATTTATAATCCTCACTTAATCAGCATACCTATAAATTCTGTTGTGCTGGTATTACTTATTATATACTCAAAATACATTGAGGCAGATCTCGTGGAATAAAAAATTATAAAAGAACTCTGAAACCCTTCACAATTACATTTTTTCTTACAGAAGGGAGAAGAAAGTTTCATGTGAGAAGAGAATGAGCTTAATTTTGGTGTCAGTTAATATGCAATGCCAGTAGAAGAGTTAAGTAGAACTATGGATATACCCAAACCAAAACCCAATGTCATCAACTTGATTCTTCTGAGATTGTAAATCTTTACGGGAGTAGAAAGCTTCATCCTCCCATGGAGCCACTGGTGGGTTTGAACCACTAATGCGCTGGACTGAAAAGTCGGTTTGAACCGCAAGGTAGACGGTTCAAGCCCACCAGCTGCTCCTTGGAAACTCTATACAGGGCCACTTTGGGTTGAAACCGACTCAACAACACTTAACAATAACAATTGTTGTTAAATGCCATTGAGTTAATTCTGACTCATAGTGACCCTGCAAAAGGTTTCCCAGGAGCAGCTGGTGGGTTTGAACTGTCAACCTTGTGGTTCACAGTCCAGTGCTGATCCTACAGCACCACCTCAGGAGTTCAGAACCACCTATAAGGGTGTGCAACATAGTACAGAACTGTGAATAGGCACAGAGATCTTGGAATTATTTACTTATATGTCAATCCAAGCATGTGAATAGATGGCATTAATGCTATAAAGAATGCATTAATATAAAGAAGGAAGGAAAAATAACACCCTAGGAAAGAACACCGAAGAACAATATTAAAACAGGCAGAAACAAAAGAAGTCTCAACAAATAAAATAAATAATGAGTGGTCAAAGAGGTAAAAAGAAAATCAGGAGACTAAGATGTCATGGAAGAAGAAAGTCAGTGACAGTGTCAAGTGTTGCTGATACATTGTGTGATGGTCATCCTTGAATTATGACTACTGGATTTAAACCACAGTAAGGTCAAAATGGATGTCAGAAGAGACACTGAAACTTGCTCTCCACCATAAAGATGCTAAAGCAAACAGAAGAAATGAGGAGGTCCAAGAGCTGAACAGAAAATTTCAAAGATC